CTCCTGAACTCCTGGTTCCTCTTGCCCATCTCTTATGAGTGGCTCTTTCCCAGTCCTTCTCTGTCTGCTTCTATCATCTCCTGATTATTCCGTCAAGAGTATAGGAGCAGCAGTTTACCTCCTGGGAGTCAACGATCCTGCCAATTAAAAGAAAAGGGAAGCATTATACTTTCTCTCTCTTTTGGAAGATGCCAAGAAATCCCACTGTCACAACACAACCTTGCTGTAAAAGGCTACAATTGTGATACTTTTCAGTGTTTCAGAAATGCAACTATTAGATTATCCTGGGTCCTCAGAAAACTTTTGCAGCTCAAGAGGAAGGAACAGTGCTAAGAAAAATGTACTAATGTTTTAGACGTAAAGTGTTCACAGCAGCTTAAGGGGCTAGAGAAGCAAGGAGGGGGCAATTCCTTCCAGGAGCTGTCACCAGGCTGCAATTTCTTCTTTAAAGTAACACCTGGAGAACACAGCAGTTTTCAACATACCAAAACTGAAAACAGAAATGGCTTTTGAGTCCTCTGGAGGCGATTCAGCAACCCATGCCAGAGAGATCTACCCCACCCCGATATATAGAGGGAGAGTTGGTCACCTATGAAGGAGGACCAAGCAGGTGTGCACTGCCATTGCACCTCAAGAACCAGCTGGAGTTTCTGCTACATCAGAAATTTGCTGAAATACTTTTCTTACAGGATTGGGAAGCAAATCATCTGCAAAAGGGTTCTTATCTCACCTAGCATGCCCTATTTCTGTGCAAAAATAGTGTAAGCCACAAACACCCCCCCCTCCCTCCACCTCAGTATCACCAAAAAATTCTAATGGACAGAGAGTGAGTATGGGGCAGGAGCTTCCCACCCCTTACTGGAAGCTGTCTAATCTGTCCTTTCCTTTCCCCCACGCAATGCATCTCTGGGACCACTGCTGCATGACTGTTGGCCAAGAAATGCAGAATGATTTTTTTGTAAATAAATCTGCTTTTAAGACATAGATTTAGCAAATTACATAATAGTTGTTGATCAGAAATCAATACAATCATTGATTTATAACAGTGTCCTTCTTGGGGACCATTTATGGGTGCAGCAGAGCAGGAGTTGGATGGAGGTTTGTAGAACTGAAGGAATTTGGTAAGGGGACAGGGTCTTTGACCAGCATTGCAATTCAAACTCAAGACACAGCAATGCATGACACATTATCTTGGGAGGACCACTCAGTGCACAATACTTCAAATGTCCTGAATTTAAAATCAGGAGTATAGCACTAGAAAAGAGGGGGTACTAGCAAAGGGGCAGGGATCCATTATAACTTACCAACCTCTGTTTCTGGTTCCGGCTGCAGCTCAGTGTCCTCCTTAGTACCATCAGGAGAGAGGCCTTCTTTAGGTGCTCTGGGTAGTGGTAGAGAATCACATGCTCTTTGTTCTCTGGGTCTTCCAGGCATCATCTGCAATCCCTGCTGCCTCCACATTTGGCCCTCACTGTCCTCCTGTCAGACACTGAGGGGCTTGAGGAAGGGAGCATGAGCCATTTCAGGCTCTGTACTGGGACCCCATTCTGAAGCCATAGAAGGGGCATGGACGACAGCCATTCCCAGAGTGACTGCTTGAGTCTTTTGCTTTTCTGTTCAGGAGCCTCAAGTGCTCGTTGCATTTCCAGTGCAATGACAGAGTCCGCTGAATGCCTGCCTGCTCCAGCCTCTGTGAAATTTCCCAGTACAAATATGTTTTCCTGCCACTCCAAGCAAAGTAGTAGAGAATGTACTCTGAGCATACATTGATTGGTATGCAGCTGTGGCTAGCGGGTCAGGCAGCTGCTCTTGGAGCAGGATTCTCATTCACCTGTACTGAGCTAAAGAATGCAGTGCAAAGCTGTTTTGATGTAGTCAGCTCAGTTTGCTACTACTGGTGAAAATGGAAAGGACAGAACTTTATAGGATGGAGGATTAGTGAAACTTGAGATCTGATACGTGCCCATTTTTGCCCATCAACACTGCAAACTGACATAGGTGAAGGGGGCATGCCACAGCATGTATTTGCTCATGTTCCGCAGGTGTATTAGCTTACGTGCCCTCTACTCATCTTCAGACATGTATTTTAGGGTGTATGAATGGACAGTAGGTTATGGACATACACTGACATGTACAGTCACTAGTGCAGATGTACCCATAGACTCTAAGCTCTCTGGGGCAAAGGCTATCTTTTTTTGTTCCATGTTTGTACAGCATCTAGCACAATGGGATCCGGATCCAAGACATGGGCTCCTCGGTGATATAACAACACAAACCAGTAATAATATCACCATCCTCAAGCATACTATTTTTTTTAAACTTACAGATAAGATCTGACAAGATAACGAACAGCTTTTGGTAAGGTGGCCCAAGACTAGATTCTAGTCACACACAACCATTACAAGAGGGTCAAACCTTCATTTGTTGCAGTTCCATCCTTGATTTTTTGTTTCAGTGACAGCAATACATTTTGCATCTGCTCAAATATGAAGTCCACTCTTCCATCTTCCATTTGCCTCCAAAACATCTGTGCATCACCTGAAATACACATTTCCATTTACAACACAATTTCTAATGACTGGAGTTTTAAAACGCATTTAAGTGCCTAAACATGCAGACAAGGACAGAGTGAGATTTTTCAAAGGCATCTGAGCAATTTTAAAAATTCCACTAAACTCCTCTCTCCATTTTTAGCCACTTAAATACGGTTAAAAATCTGACCCTAGATCTAAACTAAAAGGGAAAGTTTAATCTAACAATGTGCTTGAGGGGCTTTCTAGAGACTCAGAGGTGTCCCTTATTAAAGTTCTGGTTAGGAATGTTAAATATTGCTTAATTGAATAGCCGATTAACCCCATGAATTCTTATAGTTAGTCAACTATTCTATAGTTCCCATGGGTGGAGCTGGCAGCCAGTGTGCTCTAGTCCCACTCCCGGGGAGCCCCCTTGCCACCCCACACTGCTGCATCTCTATCAGAGGCAGCAGCGCAGGGTGCCAGGAGGCAGGAGCTGGTCCACAAGGGGAGCCAGTTTCAAAACGAGCTCCCCTCGCGGACCAGCTGCTTGCCACCCCGCACTGCTGCCTCTGATAGAGACGCAGCAGCGTGGAGTGGCATAGGCCTCCCCGGGAGTGGGGCCAGTACAAGTCAGAATTAAGCCAGACTGCCTGCTAGCCTGGCTCCTCATATACTTTAAATGCAGAGCCACAGTGGGGGGTAGGTCCTAGACCCAACACAAGCTGGGACAGAGCCAGGCTGCTGGACAGTCTGCTAAATTTACGGACAAGGGAGGGAGAAATACGTGTAGTCTATAGCATTAACTGATAAGCTTTTGCTTATCGGTTAATCGACTATGCTATTATATGCCTAGTGCTAGTACCATCAAACAGGAATGAATGTTAAGAACTTGCTTCTAACAGAGATCACCCTTCTCTCTGGGCATTGTTAATTATTTCTAATAGAGATGTATTATCACTGAAGTTCATAAAAAAATATTGCAGAACTTTATTTTAGTTGACAGGACTGCATCATACAATAGGCATTTTTACCATAACCTGTATAAGTTTTTCATATCCCCACAAGTTAACAACTTTGCTGCCTACCAGAAAAATGTTAATGTTCTGAGACAAAGGCGTCTTAACATGTTTGTTTGCAAAGTGGTGTTAGTTTTATGAACCTTTTCTATATCAAAAAGCAGTCACCCTGCTTGGGTATAAGAATGGCCACACTAGGTCTGACCAAGGCTCCATCTAGCCCCATAGCCAATTCAGAGGGAATGAATAGAATAATCATCAACTGATCCATCCTGTCGCTCATTCCCAGCTTCTGACCAACAGAGGGACACCATACTTGCTCATCTTGATGACTAAGTCACTGATGCACCTATCCTCCATTAATATACAGTAAACTTCCGATAATCCTGCACCTTTAGGACCCAGAGGGTGCCGGATTACCGGATATGCCGGACTATCAGAAGGGGCGGCTATGAGGGGTCTGGAGTGGGGTGGGAGGGGATGCCACCCCAGACCCCTCATAGCCCCCCCTTACGATACTCCGGATCTGCCCCAGGCATCCCTGATTCAGCTGCTGCTGGTGAGTTTCAGCAGCAGCTGAATCGGGGATGCTTGCAATAGAGCAGCTGGGGTGCTGCCGGGTTGGTCCCGCAGCGCCAAGGGGCGGCGCTACGGCACCAACCCAGCAGCACTCCAACTGCTCTTGGGGACGCCTGGGACAGAGCAGCTGGGGTACTGCCCAGTTGGTCCCGTAGCGCTGCCCCTCGGGGCTGCGGGACCAACCCGGCAGCACCCCAGCTGCTCTATTGCAAGCATCCCCGATTCAGCTGCTGCTGAAACTCACCAGCAGCAGCTGAATCAGGGATGCCTGGGGCAGATCCGGAGTATCGTAAGGGGGGGCTATGAGGGGTCTGGGGTGGCATCCCCTCCCACCCCACTCCAGACCCCTCATAGCCCCCCCCTTCTGATAGTCCAGCATATCTGATAATCCGGCACCCCTTGGGTCCTAAAGGTGCCGGATTATCGGAAGTTTACTGTATTTTGAACTACTAATGGTTGAAAAACTAAGATATGTAATGGTGCAATAATTGAAGGAATATAACATTGCCTTGGTTATTTTTTAAAGAGAATGAAAACACCAAGTAGGAGTAATTGTCTAGGGTGTAACAATAGCACGTAGATAGATGTAATTTGATTAAAACTGATCAAAGGTACACTTAATATCAGAGATGAGTTTGCCTGAAATAGCAAACCACTACCACTTAAAGAATTTAAAATTAGAGTGGACAAATCATTTGAGCGGCCCACACCCCCCCCGCCCCCCCGGTTCCTCTGCCCCAGGCATCCCCAAGAGCAGCTGGGGTGCTGCCGGGTTGGTACCGCAGCCCCGAGGGGCAGCGCTACGAGACCAATCCGGCAGCACCCCAGCTGCTCTGCTCCCGGCTTCCCCGATTCAGCTGCTGGTCAGTTTCAGCAGCATCTGAATGGGGGAAGCCTATCCGGCTGCCCCAGCACTTCCGGGTTCCTGATGGTGCCGGACCATCAGGAGTCCCAGAGCATTGGATGCTGGACTAATGGAGTTTTACTGTATCTAGTTATTTTTTGAACTTTGCTATAGTCCTGGCCTTCACAACATCGTCTGGTACAGGTTTCACAGGTTCACTGTGCATTATGTGAAGAAATTCTAACTTTTGTTTGTTTTAAACCTGCTGCCTAATAATTTCGTATGGTGACTCCTAATTTGTGTTTCATAAGGAGTAGATAACCTTCTTTGCTTTCTCCACACCAGTTATGATTTTATAGCCCTTTATCTTATTCCACTTAGCTGTCTCTTTTCCAAGCTGTGAAGTCCCAAACTTATTATTTCCAAGGTCAAAAGTCCCAAATCTCTCCTCACACGGAAGCTGTTCCATTCTCCTAATAATTTTTGTTGCCTTTTTCTGTACCTTTTCCAATTTCAATATATCTTGACATGGGGAGACCACATCTGCTTGCAGTATTCAAGCTGTTGGCACACATGGATTTATATAAAAGCAATATGATATATGTGGTGTATTATCTATCCCTTCCTTTATGATTCACAACACTATTTGTTTTTTGGACTGCCGCTGTACACAGAGTAGATTTTTCAGAGAACTATCCATGACTCCAAATCTCCTTCTTCAGTGAAAACAACTAATGTGGACCCCATCATTTTATAAGTGTATATGAATGCCTATAAAATCCTATTTCAATTGAAAAGGCAATTAATAAGAGTTCTTAGCCCCACATTCCTCTTTCCTGCAAAGCACATGAGTCTGCAGTCTACAGTCTATATGGGAAATCTTTTTATCGGAATGTCTAATTCTGCCAATATTTTAACTGGAAAGGCCATCAATAAAAAGTATATTGCTCCAATGTGTGACAAAAACCAGTCATAACAAGGAAATGTATTATTAGTATTAAGATTATTAGTTTCTGTCCATAAAATAATCCAGAAAGATCTAGATCCGTTTTCTCAACTAATTTTGAAATCATTTCCTATTTAAAGAGGACTGCTAATTTGGATGGGCAAATATCCTCATACATAAAATGGGTACGTGTACTATCTTCTAAGAAGTTGCAGGATAACATGTTTGGGTACTTGCGAAGACATGAAATCAGTATTTGCTGCTGGTATAGTTTCCTTAGGCACAATGGTTTCTGTTTACTAAATATGGCAACGGTTAAGTAATGTGAGGGGGGTTGGTTTCTGGAGAGGGAGACGGAGAACACAAAACTCTCTTATTAGTGTGAGATGATATGAGTAGCAGCAATGAGATTCCCTTTACTATTAAGAGGCAAGATTTGGAAAGGTTTTTTCCAATAAAACTGATTGGACAAGGAGGGTACTTGCCATCCGACAATACCTCCTCTCTAACCCTGTATTCACAGAGATAGACAACACAAGGAAGACCAATATCCTAGGGGAGGGGTGTCCAACCTGCGGCTCTTGAGCCACAGGCGGCTCTTTGCTTAAAGAAATGCAGCTCTTGCTGGTTCTGAGCTGTGTGCTCGGACTGCTCATGGCTGGCTGCTCTGTGCATGCATCCCAGCGCCTGAGACAGAAACACATGGTGATGGCAGCTCCAAGACCCAGGCATTGGGTTAGAGTAGGGGAGGGGACTGAGAGTTCCTGTCTCTGGGGGAAGGAGAGGGGCATTGGGTTAGAGCGGGGAGGGGGGCCGAAGCACTTTAAACACAAAGTCTTCATACATGCAGAATAAGGCAGCCAACACAGATGTCATATTTAAATTCCAGGGCAAAAAAAGAATCAGCATGTTACTCGTTTACACTGTGTTTCTTTAAAGAAAATTGAAAGGATACTGTTTGCCAGGCTGAAGCAATTATTCTGAGATATGAGTCTCTCCCTTATTGTTTTTGAACCTATCATATTTGCAGTCTGGGACAGACCTGAATTTTTAGAACTATAAAAAAACCATAGTCTTCATCAGGTTTTTTTTTAATTTATTATTATTATTATTATTTAAATAGAGAGGAAACCATACCAGAGATCAACAAGCTGGAGTGAAACAGGCACTTCAAATTCTGGTAATTTACTTCTCAGTTCAGTTTAATTTTAAAAAACTCACAGGACATAGTAGGGCAGTAGTGTTAAATTTAAAATACATGGTGGGGATGCTTTTTTTTTTTTAAGTGTGAAAATATTACTGTATTTTTAAAGGTTTTTTTTTAAATTTGATGTTTATTCCTTGTCAAGTTCTCTGCCTATGGACCGGCCATGAATTTTTTAAGTGACTGGAGACTTTTTTTTATTGGTTTTGTCCAAAATGTCTTGTAATGTTATTTTTATCACTATATTTTGTGTACTATATCTATATATAGATATATAAAAATAAATATATAATACATGGCTCTTCGCACTCTAACCACAGCTATTTGTCTCTTAGTCTCTAACTGGTTGGCCACTCCTGCCCTAAGGATGTTAAATATCAGTTAATTGAATAGTCGAGTAACCTCATGAATTCTTTTTGGCAGCCACTGGATCAGAGACAGCAGTGCAGTGTGTCAGGCAGGAGCTGGTCCATGAGAGGAGATTGTTTTTTAAACTAGCTCCCTTCACAGACCGGCTGCCTTTCACAGTGCTGCTGCCTCTAATGAAGTGGCAGTAGCCCCTGTTGGGGGGAAGGGAGGTTCTGAGCTCCCAGACCCAGCATTAGCTGGAACTGAGCTGGGCTGCCTGCCCACCCAGTTCCTAATATACTTTAAATGCAGAGCTGCAGTGGGGGTAGGTCCTGGGCTGGTTGTGAGCCAGGCCTGAGCCGGGCTGCTGGCTAACCTGCTAAAAAATGTACTGGCAGATGGTGGGAGGGGGAGGGAAATGTGTGTAGTCTATTGCATTAACCTATAATGCTATTGCTTAATCGATTAATCAACTACACTATTACATCCATAATAGCCACCTTTGAACACACACACACACACACACACACTTACAGTCCTATGTCAGCACTCTTAACGGACAACAAATCCTGTGAAACATGCTTGCACTAATCAAAATGCTTTTACTCCTTGAGGGATTGTTGTAGGAGGCAGCAAGCAGAAGGCCAGGCAGGTCTGCAGAGCCAGCAGGCACAGGGCACACCTGCTTGAAAACAGACTCTTTGCGTGTATCAGCTCCCACCTGCCCCCCCTACCCCCCG